TCCACAAGGTATTTCTGCATACAGATGAAACCAAATGATGCCTTTTTTTTTTTTATGAAGCCCATACCATCTAAATTACTGTGCCTTCTAGACAGCTTACTGCAAGAACAGAGTAGAGATGGTTCTGTATGGTCTGAGGGAGCTGAGTGCTAAAAGACAGACTACTCATGGCTTGTCCTTTTTTTTCCTCTGCAGAACAAATGGATGCATTATTTAATCAGTGCTTTTTTCATGCCTTAAAATGCAAAGTAAAGAAGTCAGATCTCCCTCTGCTCACCAGCACATTTCTACGCAGCCATATGTTCTCATGCTGGTACGTGGTAAGAAGATTGTCTTTGCATGACGAAGTTTTGGGTTTAGAACTGTGGAGATCGAGTGTGATTATTTAGGGTTATGTTTTTGACTCAAAAGTCAAATTCAGTCCTTATCTAAGGTTATCTAAGATTATGCTTACTTCTTACATCAAATACTTTGATAGAAGGATCGTCCAGACCAGGATATGCACTCGGTAGCTAACTGGAGTTGGCTGACATTTGTTTCTAGATTGCTTGGTCACTTAAATGGCTGTTTGCCTACCCTCAGGAACATCAGCACTAGTTTCACTCATCATCTTGTATTAGCCTGTTTGAAGTATTTATTTCTCTGTGTGATTTGTATTTCCACTGTTAAGAAGCTTTTAGCATAAGTAGCAAGACTTAAGAAGAAATGAATGGTGACTTATAACTAAAGAACTTTTAAAAAATCCATTTATAGCCCTGTTGGACAACAACTGGATATAAAGAAATCAAGTTATAAGAAGGTGAGATTTTTCTTTTTTTTTTTTTTGCATTAATTTAAATAAGAAATGGAAGGAGAGAAAAAGTGAAGTCAGAATTGTTGAAGTGCTAGTAAAACAAACAGAAGCAAAAAAACCTAGCAAGTAACTTTAGGGCAGTCAGAAATGCATGAATTTAAAATGCTTGACTCCACATTTCTGATTGTTGCTTCCCTCAGTTCTCTAAATTCCTGCAATGTATGCAGCACCAGAAGATCTTACAAGTAAAGGAGCTGAACAAAGGCGTGGAGAGCATCGTGGAAGTGGACTGGAAACATCCAGAGTATGTAGAGTATTGTACCCTTTTTAAAAGAGTTTGTAGCCTGTGAAAGAAGGAAGGGGAATCTGCTTATGAAGCTACAGTCTCAGAATGCCATATAAGATCAAATCAAGCACTTCGCAAAATCAGAAGCCAAAGTTCTAATCTCAAAAAAAAAATAAATTCTAAAATATTGCTGTGTTTTCCATTACACATATTGAATTGCACAAATACTTTTACCCTTTTGATACTTACTATCCAATTCCTCTATCAGTGTGTCCATTGTCTTTCTAAAGATTGGCAGTTACCTCATATCCAGAACATCCTACTCCTTCCTTCTGCACATCGGCACATTAGCTCTCGGTTGGAATTTCCCAGTGGGCCTGAGGCTTCCTGTTATAGAGCATCTCCTTGACAACTAATGGAGCAGAGAATATTTCTGTAGACACAAGCACATCTTCTCTTCTGCATTTGGAAAGAAGCAGGATCACTTTGACTCTTTGCATTAACTTTTCTCTCATTATACTTGGCCTTATCATTAGGAGACAGGCACACTCAGGCTTAGTTTGTTAGTTCTCCTACCTTCAAGCACAGAATGTGGAGCTCTGGTCAATGAAGTGAGACTCCAGCTCCTGCACTGCTATGCTTCTTACCCCTCTCTTACAGAGCTGTCTCTTGTCAGAGACCACTAAAGAATAATTTCAGCTTTTAAATGTACGTTTGTGGAGAGGGTTTTTTTTTTATTTTAGTTGATTCTAGTGGTTCTATGGAATGGGGCTGTATCCTTTGAATTATTGCAGTTGTCTCTAATTGCGAGAGTCAAATATGTGTAGAATAGCTGGAGAGGTTTACTTTTTCCCCCAACACATAGGGTTTTACTCACAGTGAAAAGTGTTTAATCACCTGAGTTAAGGTGCTTATTTATGTCTATCTTTGAAATGAGTACAAGTACAAATTCAGTAATTGCAGCTAATGCTTCAAAATACTGTTCTTTCTTCATGTCCTTTAAGACACAGACACAAGCCCTCACTGCAGTGGAATTAATTTGAAGGAACTGACATAATGTACAAAAGACCAGCAAGCTTTTTACACGACTCTGCTAGGTTTTAGTTTCTTAGTGAAATGGAAGTGATAAGTTTCAATCCCTTTCACCAAATAATTCTCATTTCAGCATTAAAGCATTTGCAGTACCTGAAGGATTTTCTTCTGCCTCTGCTGCCCAAGACAGCAAGAGTGAAGACAGAGAACAAGTATACCATGCTCCTGAAATCATTCCGCTTTATGGGGTCTCAACAAAAATGCTCCCACTCTTTCAGGAATCTGGACACAAGTAAGCACTAGAAAAGTACAACAAAACTATTGTTAGGTGAGAAGAGAGGCTAAAAAAACCTACGCTGCTACCATTTTGGTAGCCCTCATGGAGAGGGGCCTGTGAAGCTGTCAGGAATCAAGAATACATTGAGTGTTTCATAAAGGGAAGAAAGATAAGAGATTGTGACAGCTGTGTTCAGCAAGTACTCACATCACTTCACCCACAGCTAAGGAGGCGATAGCTCAAGTGTCAAAATTGATACATTTCACTTGGATTGTCTTAATTTGCCATTGGATAAGGCATATTCTGCCCACTCACAGTATGTTTTACTGAAAACAGGATGCCCAGATACTCTAAAGAACTCACTTGCCTCCTTGTGCCCTGATCTTGCTTGTTTTGATGCAATTTAGATAGCACTCAGTGGCAGCCTTTCCTCAGCTGACCACTTTTGTACAAGTTACCCAATGTTCTATGAAGTTAGGGGTGCCACTGGGGTCATCTTCCCAAAATGGGGCTCCTAGAACAAAGGGGTTTAGAGTCACATAACAGCTGTGAGCCGTTTATCTGGTATACAGCAGCTGAGGTGTAACAAGAAATCACTCCCTGTCAGATGTATTTCAGTATTGAGCTGTTGCTGCCAAATGCAGTCAGGATAGCTGCTGTCTTCTGTCTGAGTGACAGAACCCAGCACCTAACTACTTAATGTTAAAAAGTTTTCTTTCTCTTTAGAAAGGGCAGCATCCTCTCAAGCAATGAGGTGAGAAACATCATCATTAACTATGTGAAGACTAATGAATTGGTTGATGAAACAAACAAAAAGTAAGTAGGCATGGAAGTTGTCCTACCCTGCTTCCACAGGAGATGCTCAAGTTAGAGGAAAAAAGTGAACTTGTTTGTTTCTAATGCATGTTTTTGTTTTGTAGCTTTGTAAAGGTGAATGCTATTCTCTGTGACTGCCTGTTAGATAAAGTGGAACAAGATGAAATCTCAAACCTTAAATGGGATGACCTTCTGAGCAGGTGACTGTTTTCCCAGTCTAGTGTCAGTATTACACAGATTTATTGCATGCAACTCAAAACCATGTGTTACTGGAGCTGAATTGTAACTTCCTACTGGTAATGGAACAAAAAAATATCAAGAGACCTTCACTCGAAGGATCTCATTCTTCACCATTTAACAGGCATCGACATTAAGCGTTGCTGTTAGGGTTTTTTGTTTACCTGCTAACCATTTATCAGGGAAAGCTTCCTAAGCAAACAGTGCCTGGTTCCGTGCATAATCTGTATGTACATATTTCTAAAGCCATCCTTTGCAATAGATAGCTGAACATACCCTTTTTAGGCAATGACAGTCATCCTGCTCTTTATGTGCAGCACAACTTCTGCATTTATAACCTAAACCCACCTTTTAGATCCAAGAGGTTATTGTGCATTATCTTCTTAAGATACAAATTCTGCTCGCATAGGGAACCTTGGCTTTCATGTACTGTCAGAAACCTGTGCGAGGCTGCAGTGGAAATGCACAGTTAACATCAGCCCTGCTGTACCATATAGGCTAACTGGATGTATAAACTTTGTCCAGGTGCCTTGAACGACTGCAGCCCTTGCACCAGGTGACGTTTTTTGGACAGGAACCTATTGTGAGAAAAGGAAACATTGAGCCCATTGACGTAACCATAGCACAGAGATCATCAAATAAGAAGGTAAAAAGAGAATGAAAATAGGGGGTTTGAGCAGAAGCCCAGATTCCAAGAGCAGCTTGTTTTTCTGGGATGAATGAACCATGCCTTGCTAATACCTACAGTGATGTTTGCAATTATCGTTAAATCCTGTAGGTGACAATTATCAAGAACCTTGAGCTGTATGGTCTGGACCCACAGTGCGTGGCCAACATTCTGCAACAAAAAGTACAAGCCAGTGCCACCATCACCCCGGTACCGGGAGCAAAAGACAGAGTTCAGGTCCAGATCCAAGGCAACCAAATCCATCATCTGGCCAAGATGCTGCTAGGTAAGTGGGTACTGGAACTGGTTGCAGCAAAATACAGATTTTAATTCTTGAGCTCTGAATATTTACCTGAGGTGAACTCTCGCTTATGTTGCAGAAGAATACCAGCTACCTCGGAAATACGTTCAAGGCCTTGAGAAGGCTCCAAAGCTTGGCCGGAAGAAGTAGGAGAAAAATCTACTGTAAGAATTACTCAGATCTCATTCTTTATACAAGTGCTTTGCCAACAAACCAAGGATAATGTACAGGCCCTGTTCATTTAAAAATAAGGTCTAGGATTCACCCAAATAATAATAATATTGCTCCAGCTGTTCATTTTTCATAAAAATAAAAAGGTGAATAAAACCTCTAGCATTATCCTTTTCCATATATTTTCTGGAAGTTCTTGATGGTGCACTGGTTTTCTGCCTGCAGCAGCTTTTGGTGAGTTTAACATTTGGCTGGTTTAACATTCTTGCTTTGCACCCTTTAGCAAAGGCGTCGTTATAGAACCTCCACCGAAATACAAGCAGAGTACAATCCGACACCTTGTCCTACAGCATCCAGTGTGTTCTGCCATAGATTGTGCACGTCAGAAGTAAAACCCTTTTGGTTTTAGATCTTACCCTTTTAAACATTTCCAGGTAGTAACGTCAGACATTTCAGCACTGAGAATGAACTCTATTAGCTGGGTTTGTATGGTTTATATTGTTTTTATACATACAAGTACATTTTAATGTAGGAGCTTCACTGTAAGTCATCACAGGTAGGCATGGGTAGCAGTTCTGTCAAATCCAGCTAAAATATTAAGAGAAAATTAATGGAGCACTTTGCTCAGGTTTCACAGGGGAAGGTGTTCTGTACCACTTCAGCTGAAGCTTAAACAATTTACGGTAGGGTTAGGAAATCTAAATCCACTTCTAGGAAGGATTCTTCTATTTTCCCCTTAGACTTAATACATTCAAGTTCCATAGGAGGGCGCCAGAAAAAGAAGATAAAGAGATTTCTTTAATTACTGACAGTTTTATTATGGTTGTCTTTTACACTGTCTGCATATGAACAAGTAGATTCAGAACCTTCATAAAAGCTGGAAGTGAGGCATTTTTTAAAAATGCCATAGAATTACTAGGGAGTAGTAAAAATAAATTACAGCATTGCAAAAATGCATTTCACTTTGCCATAGAAGCTTTACTATTCCATTCTATACACATTATTTTACATGTTTTACAATAGACATGAAAAATAAATTCACACAAACTAGGCAAGACAATATATACCAACCAAAGGCACTGCCAACAGTATTTTGCGCTTAAGGAAGGGGCCAGCAACCGTTGAGACTTTCGAGTTTCCAGATCTCCCTATTCCTCAAATGCCCCGTATCTTGAAACACCAAAAGAAACAGCTCCCCTGTGCAGGAGGTTTTCAGCAGCATTCACGGTAATTGCATAAGAAGCCATGCCTTCTACAAAATGTCAAAGACATGCTGGGTTCCAGGGGGAAAGTCACCAAAACGCGAGTAGAAAACAACAACAAAATGAAACCTTTACGCCTTTTAGCCAGAAAGAAGAGATAAAACAAGCATCTGGATCTTACTTCTCAGAACCAATGGCAGTTTTTACAGTGTTCTTCCTCTTGACTGAACCGAAGTATGTATACCATGCTTTCAAGACTCAAAGCACTAGATAAATGTTATTTAAATTACTTCACGAGCGCGCAGTGAAGTAATGAGTATTCTTGCAAGTGGACAGACAGCCCCAGAGCATGCAAACTGCTGCCACCTCGCTAAGGGTCACCTGGGTGCAGAGTACAGTGCAGCTGGGAGGCCCTTCCACACCGCGCCAGAGCCCATCGCCCTGGGAGCAAACCCTCGTACGCTACCAACTAAAACAGGAGCTGCAACGAAGCTTGCGGAAAGTGGCATTTGTACAAACCGAGGGGCTTTTAAGTGATGCAGTTACTCTCTCATGGTTTATAAACAAACATACTCAAGTATAAACCTGGAAAAAAATAAAAATAATCCCAAGCAGTCACCTTCATGCACGAAACAAACCAGTTCCTCATCCCTCTACGGACAAAAGCAGCCTCATCACAACAGTACTTCAGGTAATCAGGGGATGGGACTGACAAGGCCTCTTGACAGAAGTCCCTTCCAACTTCCTCCTTAGCCCAAATGAAAAGTTTTCACGCTTAAGGAAAAAAAAGGCACTGAGGTAAAATTTTAGACTCTTCCACATTGTCTCTGGTTACCCTATAACCCAGTGCCTCCCTTCCCACTTCATGTGGGTGGGTGACAGCAGTCTACAGCAAGCTCCAAGGGACTCTTGTTCACCAAGTCAACACAAAACCCTTTCATATCCACCTCAATCCAGCTCGCATTGACGTTCCCTTTTCTCTTTACGCGTTGTTGCGGTGTCTGTGTAAACGGGGAAGACTGAGCCTGGCTGTGTGCAGTGTGCTCGGTACAGAGCACTGAGTAAACACGGGGACCACCCTCTCCCAGACCAGCATCCCCGGCGCCTTCCTCGCCCTTCAGGGATCCCTGCACGGCATCGGCAGGATCAGGGTCTCTGGACAGAGTCATGGCAGTAACTGATGCTCCAGCTCAAGGATTTTCAGGAAGGATGCACAGTGCGTGCATCAGAGACAGCGGGAGCCCTGAGAGAGGGAGAGAGACGTAGCTGTCCTCTCCTAGCTCCATGGAGAGCAGAACCTGGTAACCTTGCTGGGCGCGCAGGCAGAGCACCGATTGCGATGGGAGAGAGGGCAGGAGGGACAGGAGAGGTGGGAATGCACGGTGAGGAGGACGCGCGGTGTGAGAGAGTGGTGGGCGGAAAGCGGCTGAAGCCGATGGTTCCCTTCCTCTTCCTGGTGCCGAGGCTTTCCCACACCGGAGTCTGTGCTCCTGGTGCCACCTCCACACCCCGGCCCTGCTCACAGCTCCTCCCTGCCAGACCCATCCAGAGCTTAGGATCAGTCTGATTTGTGAAAGGGGTTTTGAGTTTTCCTGGGTTAGTCTGTTGGATATGTATTGCTAAACATTCAGTATCAAACCATGCCCCAACCATCATCTTTGTACTTTTCAAACAGAATTTCTTAAAACATAGGTCCCAATTCCTGCAGAGTACAAAAGTGTTAAAACACTGGCTAACTTAGCTAAGCATCAGGGGTGGTTGCTTTAATTCACACCTGTTTTCAAAACTCAAAGTTAAACAGAACCAACATAGACTACTTTTCCTGGAATTAGTATTACCAAGTTTCAATAATACTAACAGACTGTTTGGGTGTTGCAGCTGCCTTGGACTCATACCTTGACATTTCCCTGGCTATCTTAGCCCTGGCCACAGCTGCAACACCCACGTGCTTTGGTGCAACCACCTCCTCCGCTTCATCTGCTGCTTCCTGCGCTCTACGTTCGCAATGAGACCTTGGCCATGCGGGCACCAGCACTGCCGAACATGAGCAAGGAGCACGAACGGCAAGCGTTACCCTGCCCAAAACCTTAGCCAGTAGATGCTCCTGTTGGGTTTAACACCCAGCGTTTTTCCACGAAGCTTCGCCATCAGATGGCACGGCTGAAAAGCAAACCAGCGGCTGTGTTTGGTTTGGTGACAGGCACGGTTTTACAACAGGCTTCCCGCTCCGTGCCTGGCTCTGGGCCTGCAATAAGAGGTTTCAGACAAGGAAAATGCAATGTGTTCATGTTATGGGTGCTGGGAGCCAGTCCTGAATGGAAGGATGAAGAGGGAGAGTGACCGCTATAAGGTGTCCTGAGAAGTGTCTTTTCATTTAAAAATAATACCTAGCTTAGTCTGGTGCCCAGTGCCTCCTGAAGGGTTATCCAGGCTTGCCCCTGGCTTCTTTCAAGGTCTGCTGCAGTCTCTGTTTAAACTTCTCGTACTTCCTTTGCACTTGCTGGATTTTTTCCTTCTCTTCTTTGTCCAGGATCATCAAGAAGTTCTGTAGCTCTGGGATGGAGAACGCATCCCACTGCAAAACCAGCAGAAACACAGGGAAAGTAAGCACACACCATTCACCTTACTGCTTTTGTGAGGGTTTTTTTTCCCCCTCAATCTGTGAGGGGGAACAATAAAAGACATTTAAACATGGATCTGATCTCCAGGTAGCTTAATCTCACAGCATCATGTGAGAGAGATTGGATAATGGGCTACAGCATCATCCTCGTGGGGTGCGTGATTGCGACCAAAATCTGACTGCAAATCTACTACCTGAGCATCCCTGGCTTTTACTTAAATTAGTGGATTACTTACAAGAGTGTTTCGCTAATCTAATTATGGAGGATTAACTCTAGGGTGGCACTGCTGGGTTCTGCAAACAGATTAAGGGTTGGCCATCAAAACTGGCCTCAGCATTTTCATCCCTCAAGTTTAACATTTTTTAAAAACCAACGTAATTTAGGAGTAATAAATGACCTAAACCTTTTTTAAATTCCTTTTTAAGCAAGGTACAAGCAGCCACTCAGCTGGTAATTTAAGGCTGGAGAAAAGCTGGTAGCACTCGTTATTTCAGGAGGGAAGCAGCCTTGCCTGTGTGGCCCCGCTCCACCCACGCTGCCTCTGCCGCCCACCTCGCAGCCCCGCAGCGCTGCTAACGCGCCTGTAAAAGCCACAGGGAGAGTCCCGGCCGTACCTCAACCTCCCCTGTTTCGTTCTCCTTCAGCACGAAGCTGAGCACGTTGGTGTCGGGGCCCGCCAGCAGCCGCAGGTACAGGGGGCACTCGGTGAGGGGGAGCTTCTGGAGGAGCACTGCAAGGGCACAACACACACCACAGTGAGAGCCAGGCAGGGAGGGCTCAGGAGGTCAATCAGAACAAATAAAGGGGTTGGTGCTGCTCAGGATCAGTGCAAGCAGCTGAGTCGCTACCCCAGATCCCAGACGATCTCTGTTAGGTCTCAGGTGGCTTCAGCCCCTTCTGAAAACCAGTAATTCCCCATTAGCTTACGCAGCATCGCCTCTTATGGAGGTCTGGCCATCTATGCATCTGAAATGCAGACTTTGCCTGCCTGACACCCCACCGAGCCCAGGATGAATGCTTTGGGTATGTTTCTGTCACATAAACCAGCAAGAAAAACCCATCAGCTGCAGGAAAGCTGGCAGATCCGAAGGCCTGAACTCACCTTGCCCATCCTTCCGCATCTCCTTGAAAAGTGCGAACTTCTGAGGGTTATCTACCACCATGAACTTCTTCAGCAGCCCCTGGATCACCTCGCTGACCGTGGTCGTGCTGCTGATGTGCAGCTGCTTGATGGCATCCAGCGGCAAGTAGAAGGAGGTCCTCTTGTCTGTCATGTCGGCCAGGTTCACCTCCTTGAGGGCGTCGTAGATGGACTGCGGCCGGATCCCCGCCGGCACTGTCACGGGGCGGCGCAGCTTCAAATGCACTTTAATGAAACCCGTGTAGGTGCCATCGTCATTCTAAAGCAAAGCAGAGAGGGGGAGTCAGGCTCCAGGGACCCTTCCCAGCCCCTCCTCTGCACACGAGGGGTTTTCTGGTCCACAGTGCTGCAGCCTGTGGGCGACTGCAGGAGTTTCCACCCCTCGGCACTGCTGGGGTTGAAGGTTTCTTATTCATCATGTAAAAAGTAACCCGTAATTTCGGGTTAGTCGCTACCGATTTTCTCCTGTTCCTTCCACTCGGCAATGACTCATCCCTTCCTCACGTCTGTGCGATCTCGACTTATTTAAGCCCAACACTGCTACAAGTCGGCTATGGAAACCATTACGTGTCACTTGTAGCTGCACTTAAGCGAGGATTTGAAGCCTATGGGAAGGTCTCCACTCCTCATGTTCAGAGGGATCTCCTAACTGTATTCCTTATGTTTTATTCCTGCTTATGGGATTCTCACATCTCCATGTAATAACCCATCATTTGAGACCAGTCTGTCTCACAACAGGTCCTTACCCTCCCCTCAGCTTTGCAAAAAATGCAGAGATCAAGGGAAAAGCCTGGCTCGGTACAGCCCATTTCCTTGTCTTCTCACCCCACATCATCAAGGCTTTACTTACAGGTGCAATAAGCAAATGTGCAATCAAAACTTCAAAATAAAAGGCACCCACTGTGGTTCTTAGATCTCTGCTTAAGCAAGCCTGAGATGCAAGCAGGGAGCAGCAAAGCATCTCTGTTTCCAACATCCCTTTGCGACAGCTGCTGAAGGTGCAGCGCCGCAGCCCCAGCTTCACCGTGACTCATCCCCAGAACAACGTGGGCTCTCCTGGCTGTGGTGAGCGATGGGCAGGGACGGCTGTGCTAGCGCTTCCAGCTGGGAGGGGAGAGAGGTGGGGAAGGGTCCCCTCGAGCGCTGGGGGGAAAGCAGACGGGGTAAGGGAGAGCAGAACATCCCAACAGCCACGAGCCCGCTCACATCAGGGATGTTCACAGCCCAGAACAACCAGCACCAGTCCCCACGTGTCAGGGAATTGGAGCCCAGTACGTACCAGCTTCATCAACAGGCAGTTGGTGACTTTTGTGTTGTATTTCTCAATTCTCTGCTTGATCTCCTGGACGGTCGGAGGCTCGGGTTTTTCCTCTTCGACCGTTTGCGATACATTCTGCAATCAGAAGAGAGAGGCCTCAGCTGGGTCACACCACATCTGCTCAGCTCCACTTTTGCTCAGAAATGCAGGAACAAAGAGGCCAGGCAGATCCTGAGCATCCCAAAATCTGGACCAGCTGCGAACGAGCCTGCATGTCTTGGACCACAGTCATCATGCCAGATTTCAGGGCGCAGCCCTCGGCAGCCTCTCCATAGCCCCCCACCTCCCCCGGGACCGGCTGGGAACATTCACCAGCAATGCCCAGAACGGCGAGCGGTGCTCCCGTATTTTATGTGGGCTGGCTCGGAAGCCAGCGTTAGCGCAGAGCAGAAAGCGCAAAGGGATGTGCTAGCAAGGCCTGTGCAGAACAAAACCTGCAACCTCCAAGACGACAAAAAAGGAAAAATTAAAAAAATAAGTTAAAAAAAAGCAGCTTTGGGAGCAAAGCCCATCTCTTCCCAGGCGGCCCCACAGCCTGTGAGACCAGGATGCAGCAAGCTGTAAATAAGGCAGCTTTGCCCCAGGCTACCCATGATATTACTTTTAGGAGGAGAATCAAGCACAGGACAAACTGAAATCCTGGCTGCAATCTGGCAAGACCGCTCAGTCCTGGGATGTGGAGAGCCCTGAATTCATTCGAGTGATTCCCAAGTGAGATTTCACAATTTCTGCTCGGGATGGGCCATCAGCACGAGACCCCTCAAAGCTCAGGTCTGGAGCAGTCACCCAGCAGAAGAGCACTGACTTTGTATCATGGTCTCCTTCTTGTTCAGTGCCTTAAGAAAATAAAAGCAAAGCTTTCCTGCAGTATTTAAGAATTGCACAGAAACATCCACTTATCACAGTGGCAATTTCAAGTCCCCAGTTTGTCAAAGTCCTTGGGCACACACTTGGCTGCAGCCCATTGCCTGCCATGGGTCTCACACGGCCGCACGCAGGTGCTGGGCTGGCGCAGGGGTCTTTAAAAATAAAGCCAAGGGTAGAGCTTTTCAAAAGCAGCACTGAGGAAAAGAAACATAAATGAAAAACAAACAAAAACTTCCCTTTAAGTTAAAGGAAGACGCGTACTTAGAAACCCTCCACTTCCTCCCAGGTCACCCATTTCACAGCGCTGCAGACTGCCCAGCCACGCTGCCACCCACCCATGAGCACCAGGAGACCACGGCGCTGTCCCCTACCACACACAAAGACACAAGGGACACTGTGCATGTATGTGACACTTCATCTGTGCCACAAACACAACCTGGTGCAGGCCAGCATCAGCAAAAGCAAACAGAGCGGCTTGGTCTGTCCCTGTCACTGCAATTTGCTTCTCTCCAGGTGGGACAAGTCCCTCCCTGCTTGAGATGCTTCCAGCTGAGGAAAATGGCCCGTGCCAGCAATTAGGAGCTTTAGAGCTGCTCGTGCACCCGATGCCGCCCAGTTTCCATAGAGGGCACACGGCGCACCCACGACGACCAAAGCCTGGAGCGGTGCCGGTCCCCGGGGTTTCGCAGCGAGCGCATGGCCGATGTTAATCGCTTCATGCTCCGGGGAACCCCAATCACTCGCAGCGGGAGGAGCGGGCAGCCTGGCTCGGGAACACAGCACTGGTGGCACCACAGCACAGGGCTCACACCACGACCCCACACAGCTCCATTGACAAGCCACTGCCAGCCACCGGCGTCCCGCCTTTCCCACGCACAAATCTTGGCAGAGCTGATGTACCCTGGCCTGGGAAAACACATTAGGACAGAAACACTGCCCATAGTTCATTTATTGACCACGTCGATTTGTTTTGGCTAAGCCAAACATAAGTCAAGGCACCCACAGACCCCAGGACCCCCCTGCAGACAGGAGCGGTGCACACCACGGCCACACCGAGCCTTCATCCACAGCCGGAACAACGAACAACCCAATGTCAGGATTGCCCCGAGGAAATGGGATTGTAGCCCTCGGCTGTCACAACAATTTACAAGATTGTACGGCCACAGCTATGGGTAACAGGTTGTTCTCACCCTTTCCACGTGCAATTGTAATTGAAAAAGAAACCCTGCATTATGACAGTTTGACAAATACAGGTTTAACAGCCATATTATGTTCTCTTAGGGTCATTTTGTAAGTCATCTCCCACCTGGTGTGGAATTAATTTGCTGTTAGTAAGCTCCCTGTGCCAGTGACAGATGGTTTAACCATTTCCACTGCAGCACAACTTGAGGTGTGCAGGGAGCAGCCAGCCTGTGCTGGGAAACAGAACCAGCGGCCTTGCTCCTGGCCGTGCATTTAAAGCTGTGTCTCCGATGGAGCAGGTTGTGCCTGTGGCACAGAGCAGCACAGGACGCCCAAGCCCCTCATCCCTTACACGTCAGCTGCAATGCAGAAACCAAACCAGAAGTCACCACTTCCACAGTGCTGATGTCTACATGGGCTTGAACCATAGCTAGGCCAGTGCTTACAACCACGCTGCTTTTAAAAGGAAAACTGCAACGAGTTACGGGAGTTGGCTGGACCAATACTGCACCAAAACACTGCCAGAACGGCAGAAAAGCGGAGCAACGCAGCCCCCGCCAGCTCACCTTCCTCCTACACCTCTGCTCACACCCCACGGGTGGATGCTCTGCTTTTCTGTGTTATAGACCAAACCCATCTGCGAGTAGGACCCAAACCAGCCCAGCAGCGCCAGCACCGTGGTGGGAGCCCTGCGAGGAGAAGTGCTGCTCCTTCCCTCAGGTATGATTAGATTAGATCAGCCACTTTGTGCTCTTCATGAATCTACCCGGACCTCCGGTTTTGCAAAGCTTCTGGTGCAGAATATGCAATTTTGGCTGAAGGAAGAAAAACAGAAGCTATTAACCATAAACCGTTGCCACATTTCCTGTTGCACCGGGACAGGATGAAACAAGCTGTTAACACAACAACAGCTCGGTAACTCTGCCTGCGCCCAAACCCACGGCTCTCCTGGCTGGAACTGGGAAGAGCAACACCAGCCCCCTCGGGGAAGGCCTGGCCACGCAGCAGCACATCACAACCCATCGCTTTCCCATCGCCTCTGTCCCTCCACCCCCACGTGCAACTGGGAGGGAAGCACTGGAGCTGCTGGGTTGCTTCAGCTCCTGGCCTGTTCTGAACCCGGTGCAGATCATTGCCCAGCCATGGATGCCTGAGCCCAAGCACTGCCTCCACGGGCTGGCATCGCTCAAATGCAGCAGGAGAGGGGTTTGCCGTCCCCTACGAAACTGCCATAAAACACCTTGCAGTGACACACAGGCACCCATGGGCTGCACCGGACCAGCTGTGGTGGCTGGGGGCACCCACAGCAGCATAGCAGGGTGACCTTACCCCATCCTCCCCAACGCAGCCTGCTGCAAACACGCTTCTCCGTAACCTACATTATTTCTCAACTGTAAGACACAGCAGTTGTAAGAAAGGACTTGAGCCTCATCTGGCACTCAGGCTGATGCTCAGCAGGATAAAGGCTGCCCCGAACCCGTGCCCCAGGAAGAGGCAGATGCACAATGCCCATTGCCCAGGGCCACCGTGGTCCCTGCACAGGGCCACCACAGCCTCCTTTCTGCAATCTACCACTCATCTAATGAGCCGTGAGCTTGTGACAGGCTATTACGGGGGAGGTAAAAAACCCATGGGCCATCAGGATCATGGTGACATCCTCTCAAAAGAGCAATTCTAAGCCATGAAAGGCAACAACAAAGTCTGCATGACAGATTTTTCTATTTATTGGTTTGCAGGGATGCCAGGACAGACACCCCCCATGTCCAGCTGAAGAGCGTGCATCCTACAGCCTCTCACCTTGCAGAACTCAACCCCCAGCTCAAAAACCTTTTTAAAGCAAAGACAGCGGCTCCGCACCACGCCAGACCTCTCGGAGCATGGCTTTGGTTGCTGTAAAACCAGACACGGAAAGGCGCCGCAGATAAAGGCTGAGTGTGCCCTTCCATGGGATGCTCCTTGGAGCAAGGGCTGCGTCCTCGCAGCCACAAACCAACCCCAGAGACACCATCCTCCCCCTCGCTCCCAGCCAGCTTTCCTCACCAGCTCTTTAGTTAATCAATTTGAGCAGCGGCGATGGATTTGGCCCAACATCACCAAATTTTTGGCAGTGACTGTCTTGTCGAGAGGCAGAGGTGGCCAAGCCCTCCCTGGTGTGCTCAGGCACAGGTCCATCGCCATTTACATCAGCAAGGCTGTGACAATTTGCATTCCCAAAAACGCAGCCCAAGCTCTCCCTTTGGCTCCTATGTTCACATTGCTGGAGTATTTGGAAGACCTCTTCTGAAAGGATTTTACGCCTCAGGGCATCAATCCTCAATTCTTCCGCTTATTAAGGAAAGATTTGTCTACAGCACTATACGGGGAAAGGAGCGACTGCTCGAGCATGGACAGGCTGGGGGGAAGAATCATACAACAGATTTAAAAATAAATAAATACCTATTCGAGAAGCTCAAATGAGATGCTGCGGTTTAAAAAAGGTTAAAAAAAGGCAAGATGTATGAGAGCAGAGCATCTCTGGAGAAGGGGAGAAGGATCAGTGCTGCATTTCAGAGAGGTTAGAGGGAAGTGAAGATGGGCTCGGTGTTTTGATTGCCATGGAGATTTCACTTAGAAACCGTTTTTCATGCCACATCCCTGCTCAGCAGCGAGAGCTGAGCAGGTCCTACCCAGGGAGCTCCATCTCAGGGGGGTCTGGGCTGGATGGGCCAGGAAAAGCCCCTTCCCCCCAGGAGAGGTGCCCCAGTGCCCTGTGCTGGTCCCTCGGCTCCGGCTCCTTCTGCACTGCACCAGGCAGCGCAGTGTCCCATCGTCCACCCAGCACGGGCAACGTAGACGCCTGTGACCCCCGAAGCGCAGATGCTGCACCCAATGCCCAGCCAACTCCGGGATGATGGGGCTTCTCCGAGGCTGGAGGGGATCTGGGAGATGGCCTCGTCCAGCCCCTGCGTGGGTTTCAAGCACCCCCAGGGGTGCAGCCCCCATCACAGGCACCACCGCATGCTGCCACCATGGAGAGCTCAAAAGAGAGAAATCGGACGTGGGGCCAAAGCCACTGAGGTGTCCTTCGACTCCTGCCCAACTCACACAACTGCCCCTCCAGGCCCCCATCCCCACGGTGGTCTCTGGCCCAAGCCCCAGAACCACCAGTACCCAGTAGCACAGCAACACCACCCACACATCCCACACAAACACCTCCACCACGTCACTGCCTCCCTCTCCTTCAGCAGAGAGGGCTTTTCCCTGCTGGGCTCACACAGGGACCCCTGCCCAGGCAGGGATCTGGCCCCATCCCCTCATCCCTGCATCTCTGCCCGGATGAAGCGGCATTCTGCCCCTCATGTTTTCTATTCTTGGTCATAAACTTGCCCCTTTCTCCTCTAAGCTGGCTCTCCCAGAAGCCACCAATGCAGGACTAGAGGAGCAATTTTGCAGAGTTCGAAGCAGTCACGCTGCAGGCAGGAGCCACTGAAGCCACTCAGCTGAAGAGTCAGGAAAGCGCCAAGTAAGAGATCGCTGGGGGTGAGGTCACATCCGAGATCTAAACCAGTTCTTTGCTGAGGAAGAGTGATTGCACTGATGGTTCCGAAAATGAAAAGGAATTACAGAATTCCTAGAAAGAGGCTTTTCAGACTAACAGAGTCGTTTCAATCAGAAAAATCCCTTCTCTAATCACAGTGATCAAATTCTACTCTAGTTTTAAATGGTGGGAGGCCTGTACCTTCCCTCCTAGCCCACACACAACACATTTCCTCTCAAGATTGTTTCCTAGGTCATTTAGGACACGTCTCCCTAAGTTACCTGAATTTAGCCTATTCCTGCCCAGCACAAGGCATGCCCATGGGCCGGTGACCAGCTCCACCCAGAGCCAAGGTCCAGCCTCACGCTCTTGCAGGACCTGCACCGTCATCGATCCCTCAGCACACCACGGACCCCTCCAAACCTCCTCCCACCAAGGCCCAGGGATGGTTTCCACCTCCAGAGAGAGCAATGTGAGGTTCCACCTCCACACACAGACCCATTACGCAACACCGTTTGCCTGAGCAGCAAATCTCGACTGTGGGGTTCTGGTGGCTTTTTTCTCATGCACAGGAACCATTTCCTCCCCATAACACCAACCCCCCAGAAGGCTCCATCTTCTCCAGCAGCCACCAGGTCTGTCCCTGACACCGGCTGCATCCGGTTGAGGAGAAAGGCAAAAAGGGGGTGCAGCAGCCCCCAACCCCACCATGATGGGGCTGGTTTTGAATGATAGCAAGGATCTGCAGTGCCCTGGCTCAAAAAGAAGGGCGTTAAACCGGCGTGGGGGGCAGCACCTATAGCACCAACACCCTGATCTTTTACATCTCCTACACAAATGAATCATCAAATGACATTTAAAAACCAGCAGTACGTGTCGGTTAATCATAGCGAGAGGGAGCTGCTGGCTGACAGGGAATATCCCATGATAAACCCGAGGGAGCATTTCTTCAGAGAGATTAAAATAAAATTGCCAGTGGATTTAAACTCTTCCACCAGACGACCCCCCCCACCCCCAAGGAGAACAGCCCAGGTCAGGAGATGCCTCCTGACCCCGCACTGCAGAAAGCTGAACCCCAAAGCATCCGCTGAGGATTGCAGCTCACAGCCTCAGGTGTGCAAATATAGCAGAGCCCTAACGGTGCTGCTGATTTACAGGGGAATTTCTTCAGTGAAAAAGCTGCTCTCCAGGCCAGATCTCATCTCTCGGTGCCGCAGGGCTCTGGTTCCTGAGCGAAACCCCCACTTCCGCAGCAGCGCCTTCTCCTTTTATGCTCAGTTCTGGTTGGGGCCCCAAAGTTCATGATGGGGGTGTTCTTGTTTGTTTTTCTTTTTAATTAAATACTTAAAAACATGAAGCAGCCTTGTCAGTGTTTCCAATACAGAAATCTCATCCTGAGGTGAAACACTGCCCAGCCAAGCACTCTCTCCCTATCCAAGGCAGATACGCGTGCACCCAAATGCTCAGAAAAGAGCCAGATTCATCAATGCGTTAATAAGATCACAGATTAATTTAGTCCCGTAACTTTCCCATCTCCCTGTCCACCTCACAGGGGCAATTTTCACTAATCATGTAGATTTTGCGGGGCCAAGCCACAGGTCCCTGGCCAGGAGCCTGACCCATGGATGACAACCGGCATGGTCACTGAAGCTGAACCTGCCCCCCTGAAGCTGAAAAAACGCATTTGGAGCGGTCTAACCCGGTGTGCAAACGGTCGAGACATGGCTGAGAAAAAAACCCGCAGCAGCGCAGCGCCCTGCACAGAGCGGGGAGCCTGCGAGAGGACGGCAGAGCCTTCCTCCCCCCAAGCAGCTCTGCCCTCGCTCCAGCCGCAAGCTCATTTTGGCAGCACCCGCAGCCTGCAAACGTGAGGGAACACCGGCAACCCCCCCCCAGCGCAGCCCTCCTCACTAGTTTTTAAGCTGTTACCTTGGCAGGGACCTTGCTCGGCGCGCTTCGGAAGAAAGAGGTTTTTGCCGTGAAAAAGCAGTCCTCGAGGTCCTCATCCAAGCTGCAGTACCCGCTGCTCATGCTGCTGCCGATGGTCATCGAAGCCGGGCAGAGGCGAGAGGCCGAGCGGGCACGGGGCTCGCCGGGGGGCTCGGGGGGCCGGCGACCATCGGCGATCCCCGCTGCGGCTCCCGCGCCCCCAGCGAGCCCGCTCTCACATCCTCGGCTCGCCGGCGCTTATCTGCAATAGCTCCTTCTGCTCATCCTCTGGAGCTATTTCTCTTTAACAGGCAGCCGTGCCGGGTAACCCTTCCCTCTCCTCCTCCACCCGCCTCCCTGCGCAGCGGCGCTGGGGCAGCATGGAAGGGGCAGAGCTGCGAGTTTGCTCCGATCCCGGCGCCCGGGGTTCGCTCTGGGTCCCCGGGCACCCGCGCAGCATCGCCTCCCCTTCCTGCGCTCGCCTCGCACCGCGCAGCCCTGCCACTTCCTCTTGCAAAATTTCTCGCCTCGCTGCACGTCGGGGTCAAGGCACTGGGTTTGGTCCTGGGTACCCCCAGCACTTCCTTAGCTACCCAAAAATATATCGCTATGGCAGGCTGGGTTCTTGCTTCTTCTCTGTCAGTGCATCCTTGAGAGCTGCCATCGCATCTGCTGCCTTAATGAAGCAAGCCCAGGCTGGGCTGAGCCCGACCACGCTGCCGGAAGGTGGTAGGGAAGGGAAGAGGTTGGCAAGGACGCGGCCCTAGACCCCATAGGGGGTGCTGGGAACCCCTGGGCACCAGGACTGGGAGGCAGCGGGTGCCTCTTGCTCCACAGCCGATTTTAGAGCAGCAGGAGCTATTTCAGCAGCGCTGGCACCCAGCTCAGGCAGCTTCAGTTGTAGTCCAGGAAAATGCCATGCAGCTCCCAGGTCCTGCTCACAAGAAGCATTGGCTCCAGATCATTAAAAATATTGTGTTGGCCTCAGAAAGAGCCTCAGAGCAACAGCACCATCTCTGCTCCCCTCTCCTCATGCAACCCTGATGAAACCTGGCACAGACCATCCCAAGCTGTCCCCTCCATCCCTCCTCCCTGGTCCCTCCGGAGCCACCACCATCCCACCAACACCCCACATTGTACCCAGCAGCTTTTAAAGCAGCTGTGACCTCTCTCCTTGGGGGAGATCATGGGTATTTCTGGAGAGCTGGGCAGGGGAAGGGCTGTGAACGAGGGATTTCATCCCCCCATGAGGGGCCACGCATCCACGGGCATGCGGCACATCCCGGCACGGGCTCTCCTCACCCACCTGAAAACCAGTGCAGATTTGGGAGCAGGTTGAGGGGACTACAAAGCCTGACACACAGTGTTAAAATGGACTCTGCTTAGGCAATGCGGTATTAGCGTACACACTAATGACTCTCCACCATATTTCAGTGAAGAAAGAGAGAACAAGGCCTGAGAGCATCGTGACACTGAATGAATCCATCCTATGCCCACACTTCAAATACTTCATGCCAGACCCAGCCAGCCCATCCAAAACAGACCAAAGAATTGCACAAAGTACCACAAAAGGCAGGACAGGCTGGAGGTACAGGGAGGATTTCCATAGAGGGTTAATTCCACCACGTCCTGTTCAAGGCACAGCTCTCACCATCACTAAGTGATGTAAAATGGCGCTATCGCTCACTCCTTCAGGTCATAGGGCTCCAAAAAGGCTCTGAGATCTTCACACAAACTACCATCCACACACAAAAACCTCTTCCCCTCTTGATAGGTTGCAGATGGTGTTCCATACTCTTCCATCTGCATCTGGTAGCTGAAGGACTTAAATTGCTACAAGCCTTTGAGAGCTCTGTACCCCACAGCCGGCAGCATCCCATGAATACAAACCGGGACATCGACGTAAAGGCGAGGAGGGGGGGATGCAACATCTGCATCTCAAAGAGGAAGGCAAGAATCCAAATGGCATATTTACAAAGCAACTTGTAACGCTGCAAACAAATAAGCTATCCTCTTAGCAGCACGCGTACTTCTGCAGCGGCACAAACCTCCCCAGCTTCACAAGGCTATATTTAGAAGAGAAAGAGGCTTAAATCGAGCACGTGCAACACGAGTAGAAAGTGAGCGTTGGGCTGATGAGTGGCACCGGATCGAGTTTTCCCTGCAGACACAGTGGGAACAGGGTCTGTCCAGCTTTGTGGGAGCTGGATGCCCTCCCACTGCATTGCCCCATGGGCTTCTCCAAGGAGCCCTCACTTCTCCATTGGGGTCCCCCTGCCTGGGAGAGGAGGTCCATAAGAAAACACAACCAAAGCAGAAAAAAAAAACCCAAGTAGTTTTGACCCATTGGTTCACCAGCAGCTCCGGTTAATGGTTACCTGCACAACAGTCCTCAGAAAACCCATCCAGCAGTGACCTGCACTGGTTCGCAAGTGGGAAGGGCACAACCAGCTCTGCCAAAGCCAGAGACCAAACTCCTGGTGCTGCCGAGACCGACCAAGGCTTCTGTCAGCTTCAGCAGAGCCTGGATTTCACCCAGACGCTAATCTGGGACCCAGTGTAACGCACTCTTGAGTACTTTGCTGGATCAAAGCCCAAATTATTAATGCCTGGTGTTACACAGTAACAGTACTTAACTACATGATATTAAAGTAGCTGTTTCTCTGATGCTTCTCCTTCGCTTACATTTGATAATACTACTTAATGACTTCCAACTATGCCAGCTATTAATTTAAGTTTCTAGTGTTTTCAGTGAGCAATCCCCTTTATTTCCCCAGTGTATTCAGGCACCCTATTGCTCTCTCCCTGGCATGCCAACTCTGCTGTCCCTCCTTCCCTCTCCTTTCCAGCAGCAAACCCAGCTTGGCCAAGAGAAACACACCAGGAGCAGGGCTGCGTGCTCAGCTTTACAGCTCAGGTCAAGTACACTTGGAGTTTCTCCCCAATATTTTCCCCATTATCCATCATCCACAAAAAAGAAGAGAACTTCATTGCAGTGATTTACCCCCACACCAGCCCACGCCCCCCAGCGGCCGTTCCCAGCACAGGTAACGAGACCCCAGACAGGGCTCAGAGCTGGGATCCCCAACAGGACCCTGGGGGTGTTTCTGGGTTTGCTTGCTGCTGTAATGGGAGAGATTTTTGCTTCCTTGGCATGAAATGCCTCCCCCCCTCCTCAGGATCACACCAGAGACGTGTCAAAGTGATGAATTGCCACAAAGCGCAGGCTCCGTGTTTATTATTAGGACCATCAATAACCCCCGGCTGCTGTTATCACCCTGAAGAAGGAACAAGCCTTTCTGATTTGTCTAAAAACAAATAGAAATCAAGCTTTCCTTATGCTGCTGGGGGAAGCCCAACAGCACGTGAAGGAGCTGTAAACACAAACCTGGCTTCACACCCTCACACAAATACCTCGAGGCTCAGTGGAGAATCCATTCAATCCTTTGCAATGCATAACGTATAAGATGAATCTCATCCAACATCAGGGTCCCTTCCTGACCATTTCCTTGGGAGCACCAATCGCCCAGGCACGTGCTGGTGGGTTCAAGCCCTGCAGACCTCGCACTGCAAAGCGCAGACCACCACCAAACCCCCCCCCCACCTCCTCACAGACCAAACAGAGACCCCACGGCTGCTTTAAAAAAGCACACATTTCCACTTGCAGCTTTGCACAAGTGCATCAAGGCTCTCTACAAAAAGGAACATAAGTGCATGGGTATAATAGAGAGAATAGAGTTTTTAAAAAGCATACAGTGATTGAAAAGGCTCTGTGCAATTCAGATCCACTTCAGGGTGTTTCTAAGCAATGTCCTAAGCTTTCAGCACTGAGTACCTTACATCTCGACTTGCGTGGCACCGTCCTGGTGCGGGTGCTGCAGCCTGTCCCAGCAAACACCCACGCCAGCATCACAGACACCACAGGACCCTCGGGGGGATTAACCAGACACTAAACCTTCTGGAGTGGCCCCAGGGATTACTGCACATCCCTAATACAGATTGAAGAGTCTCAATCCCCTGGAACTACTGAAACTCCTAAATCAAGGCTATTATGCCAGAGCTGCTCATAAAATCCTTGCTAGTGCTCTGCCAAGATGCAGGAGAAATGCACTTTTGCTGCTCCGGCATGCAATTTAACGTTGGCATTGACCCTCCCTCCCTAAAACCCTTCAGGAACAGGAAATCAGGCCCTAAAGGAGATGTTATGGTCACCACGGTGCTGCCACCCCCCAGAGCCCCCTTCCCAGCGTACCTGGCTGCGGTGCGGCAGGAGGGTGCTCTCGGGCGAGAGCTGGCTCTGGTCCTGGCCCGGCTGGCGGCAGTCGAGCTGGATGCGGCTGCAGCACTCCTGGTGACACGTGTAGCGGCAGTCTGCAGGGAGAGGTGACAAAGTGAGGACACAGACCAGAGCCTGCACGTGAGGGATGGCAGGGGGGAACCTGAGAAAGGACCCTGGGAAGGGACCAGGCTCCCGCCGAGGGGCACAGCGATGCTCGCAGGCACCATCGCAGCCAGAACTGCCAGCCAGGAACACGTCCCCATTTAGACATCCTCCTGCAGACACAGAGAGGAACCAGGACACCTCATCCAGAGCAAAAATTGCTCCCAAGCCCACTCCTGCTGCCTTCCTCCCAACTTGCTGGCACACTCGCATACAAAGCAAAGAATATCCTCAAGTCCCAAACCACAGAGTACAGCACCGCCCAGCTATGCTCATTGCAGATGTCACCCTTTGACTGCAGCAAAAATCTGGCCACTTCACGATGAAAGGATGTTTCATCTTCCAACATCAGCAGAGAAAACACACCTTTGTGTTACACAGAAGCCAAACTACTTAAGGTCACTGAATATGAACCCTTCAAGGGCCAGTTATGGTGACCAATGTGAGGATGTACCATCAGACTGCCCCAAAGCCACCCCTGGCGCAAGCAGGGACGTGTCCTAGGCCCAAGGAAGCTGTGCCCTCCCATCCCCAGGCATTTCCAGTGTTTGCTTTGGGTGCTGACCTGTGCAGTCAGACATTAACTAATGCCAGGTAGGAACTGCACAGCTCTGCAGCCTGGGTTTCAACCTCTTTAGGTGAAAAAATACAGGGTCTTGCTTGCCCATGGCTGCAGAGG